GATGTTCAAAGACATCTACCCTTCCGTCAAAAAAGGAGACCCGTACCATACGGTGTGAGAGAGCAGGTAGATGGTATGCTTTTAGATCTAAAGAATCGGGGAATCATTGAGGAAAGCCAATCAACCTGGCCTCTCCAATAGTGCTGGTAGCCAAGAAAGATGGTAGTAAACGGTTGTGTATTGGCTATAGAGTGGTGAACAATGTGACCAAGAAAGATTGCTACCCTTTACCCCCACCAATCGAATAACGCTTCAAAACCTGCAAGGAATGAGATGGTTTTCATTTCTCGATCTGGCTAGTGGTTATTGGCAAGTACCCCTTACAGGAAGGAAATAAGCACTTGCACAACATTTTGCGAATTATTCCATTTTAATGTACTACCGTTTGGTCTTACGAATGCACCAGCAGCGTTTCAGCAATTATTGGATTAAGTACTCGGTGACCTAAAAAGAAGAGAAGCCTCCGTTTACTTGGACAATACCCTAATCACAACTAAAAACTAAAACTGAAGAGCGCTTTAGAGGTGCTAGAACAAACGTTCGAGGCGTTTTGAAAGGCCAAGCTGAAGGTGAAACCACAGAAATGTCGGCTTCTGCGACGTACTTCAGGCCAAGTTATAGACAGGGGCGGCATGAAAACCAACCCTGACAAGGTGTACAATATTCGGAACTAACCGGTACCTCGTAATATTGTTCAATTGAGAACACTCCTGGGAATGGTGGGATATTATCGCAGGTTAATCTTGAGGTACGCCGAAATTGCTCAGCCGTTGTACTAACTGACCAGTCCCAAGACCACATTTAACTGTTTAGATAAACAGGGCAAAGCTGTTAGAAACTAAAAGATGCATTATCACTCGCTCCTGTATTAGGGCACCCTGATGTTGAAAGGGCGTTGGACAAAAGCTGACCCTTTATTGTCTATACTGACGCCACTAGAATTAGCGTTGAAGCGATATACAGTAGCGCTTAAAAGTCTTCGGTGAAATGGTTCTTCAGTCATACTTTTCACTCATAACTCCTTTCTTACTGGGTCTAATCACGCGAAATTTCGATATGTGTAGCATGGGTGTAGTGTGAATATTTACCACTATCAACCTGCGATCTAATCATGTTCCAGATATCCCAAAGGGCTTGAACTCAAAATCGACTGAAAGTACAGATGATGGCCCTCCTAGAATCTCTTTTCTTTTTGTCATGTCTAAAGTGTACGAGCGGTAATGCCGAACACAATAGATGAGAAAAACGCTCATACGGTGCGAATAAGTGGGGACGTCAACAACTTAACTCTAAGCGAAATCTGCTACCGCAACAAACACCTTGCCCTATATGTGGATATTGCAGCTTCGCAGTCAAATAGTGTTGGGTAGGGTGCAATATGTTCTAGTTGAACATATCCAAATTTCGGGCGATTTGGTCTACTAAGAAAAAAGTTTTGAACGAAAAAGCGTCGAAGCATTTCACCGATGACTTTTGAGTGCTACTGTAGCTCAGGAAGTGGATGACGGATTCTTACATCCACTTTTCTTCGCTTCTAAATCACTTTCTTCTGCGAAGCGCGATTATCATGTAACAGATCAGGAAGCCTTAGCACAGGTTCAGTCTCAAAAAGTTTCACTGTTTCATATTGTTACTCTTACAATAGTGCGAAGTGATCACTCCGCATTAACGTCGCTGTTTAGGTGAGCCCATGTTTCGCCTCGTGTTTTGCGCTGGGCACTATAGATACAGCGATAGGACCTGAGTACTGAGCATGTAAAAGGAGCGGCAAATAGCATGCATTTGCACGAGTTCCCGTAGACGCTCGGAAGAAAAATGGGTCTGTCTGGATAGCAGACGAAAAAGTGGTGCCTTCTGTACAGGAACGCGATAGGCACAGAGAATTGCGGAAAGACTACGATTTTGGGCTAGTTATCGACGCAGTGGAAAGCGGGAGAGAGAAAGAAGTGGGAATTCAGAACTTCGATCGGAAGTAAAGTTTACTTGATTTCATGATTGAAGGCGTGCAACTCAAACCCATAAATGAGGACGATTCATTGGTCCCAGTGGTACCACGAAGTCAACGACGTGCATTGCTTGTCTCATCGCAGCCCTCTAGGTGATCATTTTCACACTCGCAAAATGCTTAATCAGTTGGAGAAAGTTGTGTTTTGGCTAGGGATGCATCAAGACTTGGTAAGGTGGTGCAAAGAATGCCAGGCGTGTTTTCTGACAAACAACAAAAACTAAAAGGGAAACCCTCTCTGAAGTCTATAGTTTCACTAAAGCCATTCGATATTGTCGGATTCAACTTACTCGAAAAGGGCTCAACTACCCGGAATCGCTACATTGTAACGGTTGTAGACCATTTCACAAAATACTTGGGAACGTATCTTATTCCAGATAAAAGGCTGAAACGGTTGCTGAAGCACTCCTCAGTAACTGGACTTGCGGCTGCGGTCGTTGGCCAACGGTTTTGCTTTCAGACTGTGGGAGCGAATTCAAAAACTCCATCATGGTGGCCCTATGCTCGGTTATGAACATTCAATAAAATTTTACTAAAGGGTATTGCCCGAAGGAAAGAAACGGAACGGAAAGAGAAAATGGAACCATTGTTAAGATGCTCAGGAAAAGTTGTGCCAGCGGAGTGGGATAGATTCTATCCACGATCGTGTACGCTTAGAATGTAGTGTGAAGCCCATTTGAAGCCACTGGGAAGAGTCCCCATTTCCTGCTTTATGGCTATGATCCTTTTTATCCCTCGGCTGTTGAACGTTAAAGGCTTTATCACCATAAACGGCAGATCAGGATAGTTATAAAACTAATTTTCTGAATGGTTCAAAAATGGCTCGTAATTATATAACGGAAAACGCTAATGAATATCGTAATAGGATGAAAAGGAACTACGATAGGGAGTGGAACACTCAAAAATGCACGAAATTTAACGTTGGGGATAGAGTTTATGTGAAAATCCCGGCAGAAAAAGGGAAATCGCGTCACCCCAAACTGGTCACCCCATGGGAAGGTCCATTTCGTGTGGTTACTGCGTCAGAGAACTCTGCATTAGTAACATTGATCGGAGAAAATAAGCCTCCAAAAGAGCTCTAATTCGATCAGTTAGTGAAAATTCCATCAGAAATAAGCGATAATCCAATCAAGGGTTTGACTACGCGCTACGAAAAACGTGGCAGACTTAGAAAAGTAGAAATGAAAGCCAACAAAATGATAAACAAAACGTGTTTCAGAATTCACGCTCCTATTTTCAGCACCATTTTTTCCCGCCACGTGGACTGGCGTTGCCCCGGAAAGCTGATGTGTCAAGGAGTAGAAGT